AACCTTGTGTCTTTCCATTCCTCAGAGTGGGGAGGACCCTCTGAGACCATCTAAGCCAGTTGCGGCAAACGTATGGCACACGTGCTCCAGCAGGCTGCTTGTGTCATTAAAAGCTCTAAAAGGTTACCATCTCTGATCTGGGCCAGTGCTTCTCAGATTGCTCAGAAGAGCTCTGCAGCAGGCTTATGCTTATTAAACATACTGTATACACCTTGCCTCAGTACTCTAAATGACTGGAGTAGGGGCTGGAGAATTGATGTATTTTGATCAGCTGCCCAAATGATTCTGTCCCCACTAAAGTTTGAGAACCAAGGATATAGAAAATTTTTTCTACTTTGGAAAGAGGGAGCTTAGGGTTCAAAGAGATGAACCATGTATCAAGTTAATGAACGAGCCAGTCTTGAACTCAGTTCTCTGAGTTGTCTTCTGGTCTGCTATTCTTACTGATCCCATGCTGCTTTGCTTAGTTTAGTTTAGTTTAGTTTAGTTTAGTTTAGTTTAGTTTAGTTTAGTCTAGTTTAGTTGTTTTAGTTTAGGTCTTGCTGTGTATTTCAGGAAGGCCGTAAACTCACTTTGTAACCCAGGCTGGCCTTTAAACTCATGGTGATCCTCTTGCCTTAGCCTCCTGAGTGCTGGGATTACAAGTGTGCACCAGCACATCCGGCTGCTTAGTTTATTTTAAAATGTTACATGTCCATAGCTTTTATTATCCTAAATGCAAACTCCTGTTGTCATCAGGGGTCAGAAGGGAATAGGACCCCTTGAAGAGACAGAAATGGCTAACTGGGAAAGGAGGTAGGAACCTAGGCCTGTCTTCCCCTATGCTGGAGACAAGCTGGTAGATGTCTTTGTTGGGAATGTGACGGTTCACTGGCTGAGGACCAGCTGTAAGGATGAAGCCTCAGGAGACCACCTTGGTGTCCAGCTGCTGGACAGGCTTGGATGAATCCCTTCAATTTCTGTGAGTTTGCTTACTTTAACCCAGTGAGAATGGGGTAAATGGGAGGGTGCATTTGAGGCTGTGTTGCTCCCTCTTTCCTTACTCAATTTCACTTTGGGCCCTTTTCGGGCTTGAGAAGAGTGTGAAGTGATCTTCTGTGGCAGGACACATAACGCTAGGTGATCCGGGGAAAGCACTTAATTGTATGAGCATGAAATAGGCCCCGCAGAACTGGGCTGGGTCTCAGCTGTGCCACTGATTACATCATCCTTCTGAATTTCAGTGTCCTCCTCTATAAAATAGCATAAATTTACACCCCGCAGGGTTATTCTGAAATAAAAAAGGAAATGACAGTGCTTTACAGATTGTAATGCACTACTCAGTTCCAAAGATTGCTGTGTAGGACCATCAGTTATGCAGGATTTACACATGGATTTGTGAAACAAACAGGCCTTTAAATAAGGCCTTAAAACTGCTGAGAGATACCAAATGAAACTGATGGTTCTTACCTCAGTCCAACATTCTCCTGTTCCCTGTGCATTTCTGAGAAGAAAAGTATGTTCAGGATTCCCCACTGTGAAACTTCGCTCCTCTGTACTGAGGATACATTTTGACAGGCTAGACAGACAAGGATATAGCCAATTTCCAGATTAGGGACATTCATTAGACTTGTATTTATTTGTTGATTCAACCAGTATTTATGAACAATATTTACACCCAGGCACTGCTGGCTTCTGGGGTTCAACTGTAGAGAAGGTAGTCATGCTGCCTTTCCTCATGGGACTTTGATCAGGTAGGAAAAATACAGTCACGTTAGCGAGTGGTTGCAATAGAATGAAAGGAACAATGTACAATAATGCATCAGTTGACGAACACTTGTGTTTGCAAATAATTCAGTTCACAAACAAAAGCATTTAGCAAAATTTTGCTTCCATCTGAAAACTGCTCCACATCAAGAGACAAATACTACCACAGTTATCTTCCCCACACAAACACAAATGCCACCTTCCCCAAAATCATAAAACAAGCTTAAGTTTGTAAATCAAGATACAATTGTAATTGGACATGCCTAAGCCATTGGAGGAGTTGTTAGAAGCAACAACTACCTCAAATTTATTAGGAATCACTGGAAGAAGTAACTTCAATTAGAGGCCTAAAATCAAATTGGAGTTAGCCTACTGAAGGAACACAGAAATGTCCCAGGTAATATTATACAGGGAATGATCAAAATATATGGTGAATTTTTAAGTTTGAGTTTGTTTTTTCATTTATTATATTCCACATTGCCACTAATTCACCTTAAAATACTCCCTCATGTTTCACACACACTTGTTCCATCATTCTTGCCACTTTTCTGAAAGCAGTTCTGGAAATCATCTTCGTGAGTTATCTTTACCAGGAGTAATAAAAAACATAATGAATGTCACTGTCAAGTGCCATCCAGTGGAAAGAAATGCTTGTAAAAACATTTTGGTGTGCCTTCATCCACTTATTCACTGAATCTGGCATTGTGGGACTTTTGGCTCTTCCCCAAAGTCAAAATGACCATGAAATATAAACATTTTGAATTGATTCAGGACATCATGGCAGCTACCACAATGCAACTAAAGACACTCTAGGAAAGACTTCCAGAACTGCACCAGAAAGTAGAAATAAGGATGGGATAAGTGTGTTCCAAGAGAAGGGGAATATTTCAGGGCAATTAATGACATTGTATTTTCCTGTCATAAGTTTCAGCAAACATTCACCGTGTATTTCAGTCATCTCTCGACGTATTTTCAAAACCCCAGAGGCAAGAAAGGGTATTAGGAAGGAGATAGTGAGACCTGAGACCCACGGGTGAGTGGTGCTTTTCATGGACATTCCCTATTAGTTGTGCTGTGATGCTGGTACTCTGTTGACATTTGAACCAATATTAACTCCCACTGTATTCCTTGAGGTCATCTGCTTTTTATGGTAAGCACGCTGTGTATAAGTCCATCATTGCACTTGTAGTATATATTATAATTAGTCTGCTCAGTTGCCTGACTTTTACCTACTACTTTACTTCTTAAAGTCAGGAATTGTATCTTGTTTTTGAATTTTTTTAAATTTTATTTTAAAGAGGATAAAACCAAGCAAAATAAAACAGAAAAAAATCAATCAAGATAAAGCAAAATAAAACAGAAAAAAACAATCAAAATAAACTAGTATAAATGATACAGAACTTCAAAACTTTATGAAGTCAGCAATAGTTATTATAACGCCTCTTGTTGTTTTCAAAATAGCTGCAGATACCTTTGGACATAGCAAAAATTGAACAGAAGAGAATAGAGCATAAACAATAAAAACAAAACAATGAAGGCAACAAAGGACTTCAAAATAAGCTAATATAAATCCAAAATGGCTACCATAATATGTCCTACCATCCTCGAAACAGCTGCTTATGCCATCAAATTTAACATAATCAAACAAAACAAAAGAGAATAAAACCCAAACCAAGAAAACAGTGAAAATGATATGGTTTCCAGCTGGGGATCACCTCCGGATGAGGCCTGGTTCTCTCCCTCTGCAGTCCTCGAATGGTGCTGACTTACAGAGAGAGGCTTGGGTGTGGCTGCTCCATTATTTTTTTATTATATCTCCAGAAGTTACCACCATGCTTTAGTGCTCATTAAACATTGTTTGTTGAATGAATGATAAATTTTCACTGTAAAATGGATCACACCTTTCTTGCTTTCTTGAGCCAGCTGTTACTTTTCCTCAGGTCCTGCATTGTATACAGCTGTTAATGGCCTATATGGCAATTCTGTAATACTCTTCGGGCCTTTTCAGGTGCTGCACTCTGAATTCCTTTTTTTATTTTTTTTTTTTCAGCTTTTCACTGTCCTTTTCTTTTCCCTCCCTGCCTAACCAAGGCTTGATTGTAATCATTCTGCTTGATTTTAACACATCTTTCCCAGCCTTTTTACTTCCTTCTGTTTGTCTGCAGTGAGCTAGAAACAAGATCACCAGATATGATTTGCTAGATTATTTGTGACTAAGAGGTAGTAATCTCAGATTGAGGTCCTCAAGATCTCTTAGGGGAAAAGTGTAGATCCGGTACACATGGGGCTTGTATGTTGGCTGCTCAGAGGCTTCTTCTTTCCTGTTCTTGACCCAAAAAAGGGCCATGTAACTCCTCAGGAGTTGGGCTAAGCAGTTAGCATCTGTGATCCCCTGTCCGGCGAAGAGCTAATCCTTATGGATTCTGTAGACCACAGAGAGTGTGATCTGGTTTCTAGCTACAGGCTCCCACAACCTTGCTCTGGCCAAACATTTAAAATGCTTCCACACAAGCTAGCATATCCGATAGGGTGCTGGCTACAAACCTCCAGCCATTTTCTGATAAATGGAGGTTCTACAGACAATGTGCCTGCATCTTCACCTAAACAAAAGGAATAAGAACCTAGGCTGGCACCAGAACATCTAGGCTCTGCTTCTTTATCTGGGCTCTGATTCTCCCACTTGCAAGATAATGAAAGAAAGAAGGACTCAGATTAGACCTGGGTTCTGAACCCAGGGCCTCGCGCATACTAGGCATCTAAGCCACATTCCCAGCTCTCCTCTGGCTTTCCTTAGCATACCATTGTACTTCAAACACAGCATTGATTTCAAACAATACTTTCAACATCTGTTTATTGTTAGGGGCTGCCAGCTGATTCATTTCATATCCCGAAGATTTATCCTGACACATACTAGATGTCTATAAATGTTCATGGAGCTAACCAGCCTCTGATTCACCTCTTGCCCAGCACAGGTAGCCAGGCACATAGCATAGGTGCGATTTAACGTTTAGTAAGTAGGTAGATGAGTGAGTGAATTGAAATGCCAAAAGAAAGTAGATAAGTGCTCGCTTCGGCAGCACATATACTAGAATTGGAACGATACAGAGAAGATTAGCATGGCCCCTGCGCAAAGATGACACGCAAATTCGTGAAGCGTTCCATATTTAAAAAAAAAAAAAAAAAGAAAGTAGATAAAATGGTTTCACGTGCATCTGTTGCTAATGTAAGGGTTTATGTTGCTGTCTTCCCCCCAGTCCTGGTCACCCGAGAGGATGATTTCAATAACCGACTAAACAATCGTGCCAGCTTCAAAGGCTGCACAGCCCTGCACTACGCTGTCCTTGCTGATGACTACCGCACCGTCAAGGAGCTGCTTGATGGAGGTGAGACCTGAGTGGAGGATGGGGCAGGTCAGGGTTGGCAGGAGAGAGAGTACTTTGCAGACTCTCCAGCCTGGAAATGCCAGGCTTCCCAGTACCTGTTAGTCTCCCTGAGCTAGACATGCCTTGAGAGTGAGTATATTTCCCAAGACTGACAATGTGCACATGAGACTTGCTTTCCAGTGGGTGGTGCTTTGCAGATGGTTCCTGCATGTATATATGATGCTCCCTGCCAGCTAGCCTGTCGGCAAAAGCTATAAAAGTTTTCTTGATTGTTGCTCTCCTCAAAAATATTCTCTCTTCTCTACATGATTTCTAGAGCTGGACCAGGAGGAAGTCTCTTCAAATCTCTACTAATGCAGGTCATTAATGCCCTCCTTGATCCCACTCCAACCTGTGTCGGTTAGGTCCTTTCATTGCTGTTGAGTTGGGATACCCTAATCTTTCCTATCATTGCGTTCATCACAGTCTGCGATTATTTGTATTTGTTCATTAGCCTTCTCCCTAACACAAGCCTCGACTTCCTTAAAACCAGAACCATGGCTGACTTGTTTCAGTGTCCCTTAATGTTTATACTTAGTAGTAAATACTCAATAAATACTTGCTAACTGGTGGATACTCTCCCTTTTAAGATCATCACTTTAATTAGAGGGACATCACATGTCACTCTAGACTCAGGTCCTATCCAAGTCTGGTACAGCTACCTGCCAGACAACCCCCAAGCAATCACTTTCCTTCCTGCTTGCCTTTAGCCCAGCCTGTGAGAGAGCCAGGGAAGTATCTTGCCAGCAAGTGTGTGGAACAGGCTTCTGAGTGAGCCTGCCTGTTCACACCCACCCTGCCTCCCTGCCATATCTTGAGGGCAGGGACCTGTACTGGGGCGTAGACCCCAGGGCCCTCCTTGTCAGGTGTCATTCTCCATGGGACCGAGAGCTGGAAGCATCTGGGCTACTCCTAGGATTGCCCTTTTCCTCCCATGCAGAAACCCCTCCAACAGCTTGCTGGCTGGCATTCCCTTGGGTTCTGTCAGAGACTGAAGGATCTTGCTTCTTCCCTAGTCATTCATTCTCTTTTCCTTCCACTATGACTGGTGAACATGTCTCTGTAATGAGCTGAGGTCATCATCTCTGTAACTTCTGCTATCATCTTTTCAAAAACCAGTCTTCACAGAAAGTTTCTTTCTGTTCCAGAGCTTTCATCTGTCAGGCCCAACATCCCCAGAGCATTTTCTAGGGGTTAAAGGGGCTTCCCGGGAACCCCTCTAATCCTGTAACATCCTTTCAGCCATAACAACACTGGCTTTAAACTCATGCCTGGCCCTTACCCCGTCTCCATTGGACCTGCCCCAGAAGTGTCTTGGTCTGGGGATGCAACTGTGAAAGAAAGTACTACTACTCCATGTGGTGACAGTGCCTGGGAAGACTGATAATTTTGAGGCCGGGACTTACTGCTCTCAGAAACAAAGGCTTAGAAAATGTTCCCAACCAGGATACTTCTTACTTTGTCCTATGAAAGCTCTCCAGTGAGATATTTGTTGCTGAGAATTGGGGTGGGAACTATGGGATTTCTCTCTGTGGTGCCTTAAAATTAGTAAGTACTCCCAGCCATTGTGTCATATCCCCACTTCCTCCAGCCCCTAAACAGAGAGTTCACTTTACAAGGACCCCCTCAAGCTCGCCTTCCAGATGGAACACCTTTGAAATGAAGAGAGGAGGGCCTTTTATGAAGCTCACTCCACCCTCACCCCCAGGCCAGCGCTGGCCCTTTGAGCCATTCCAGGGCCATGGTTCTTGCCTGGTGACTTGGAACAGCAGCCCTGCACCCCCATGTTTCCATTTTTCCCACCTGCCTTTTTAGCCAGCATTCCTTTTGCCCCTATCCTAGCCTCCCAGCCTCCAGGGCTAAAACCATTAACTCCCTCCCAGACCTAAAAAGTTGTCATCACTCAGGGCCTGCAGGCCTAAAAACTTCTGACCTCCTGCCCCTCCTTGAACTCTCTTGGTCTCCTGTGTATGTGACTAGCCAACCAAGAGACAGGATCCTGCTATCCTGCCCTCGGGGCTGTCTTTTGACCTCAACTAACCTTCTCTAAAAGTTTGTCTTCCTGCCCATCAACTTTCCTAGCTCTGCTGTGGCAATGTGAAGTAAGTTCTCTTTGTAGATCCTAGGCAAGCCTAGACATAGAGGCCAACCTGTGCTTTTTGTGTCCAAAAGAACCCTTCTGGAAATTCCTTAGTATATATATAAGGATTTAGGTTTCTTGGATGTTAGAGGATTAGAACTAGAGGAGTTAGTTGCTCTTGTTCTCTGACCTAAAGTCCCCATTTGAGCTAGGAAGCTCTGACAGTAGTTATCAGGCTATAATGTAGATACTGTCCAGCCCTGTAGGGGGCATCAGGGGGTAATAGCAGAGACATTTGGGGCTTCAGAGTCAGGCCAACCTGGATCTGAAATCCAACATTACATCCGTTAGCTGGGTTGCCTTGGACATGTTACTTTAACTCTGTAAACCTCAGTTTCCTCGTATGTAAAGTGTGTAACAGGGACAATGTAAGATTAATAATAACATCAATAAAAACCCTGGCAGGCACAAGGTAGACACCCCCACCCCCATGAAAGGTAGTTATCATTATGACCTAAATACAGAAACTAGACTCTCATTCTGGCAGCTGTACTCCCATTCCTCTTAATTCTGTCTCTGGCTACAATGCTCCGGTCCTGACTAGAATGCTTTTGTATCACCCTCTCAGCTAAATCCTTAGACCAGTGGTGCCAAACCTGCAGCACACGTGTCACAGCAGGTTATTTATATCATTGAACGCTCTAAGAGGTTCACCATCACTGCCTTGGACTCATGAGAAGGCCTTCCTCTCTTGGGAAAATCTGATCTACTCTGAAGCTTCCTGCTCTGAATTTGTAAAATGTTAGATCCGGGCTCAGGACAGACTGCTCAAGGTTGCTTCTTCATCTTCAGGTAGCCCCATAAATAATAAAAAGGGGCACAAGCTTTGGAGTTAGACCTGGCTGTAAATAACTCCCCAATTATGTCATTCTGCTATCTCTGAGACGGTGGACTTCAGGGCATCCTACTGTAAGACAGATCAGGCAAACTTCCCCAGACCCTAAGAGACTCTCACACCATCCAAAGAGACAGGTGTACAAACAGTGCATGATGGTAGAGTAGGTACTCTGGCAGGGAACTGGACAGAGGGCTTCTGGGGACACAGAATTAATGCTGTCTTCTGCCTGGTGATCAGGTAGTTAGAATCAGTTACAAAAAGTTTCCCAAAAGAAGAAGTGCTTGAGTTTTGTCAGGAAGCATAATGGGAATTTGCCAGATAGAGTCCTTTGGAACAGTTTTAAATTAACTGGTGCCAGTTTTCTGCTACCACTCTCCACAGAAAAGCAAGTATATAAGCATGTGCTTTTCGTCTGTGAAGGCGCTACATCCACACCTGACTGCTACAGGAGGGCAAGAGGGAGGGCAGGATGACTGGAAAGAGGAGTGATCAGGAAAGGTGGCTGAAGCCTTCTACCTCAGCTCCCTGGAGCTGACTCATCCTAGTATTTCCAGGGCTCTTAAGATGCATCAGCAACCATTTCCCCTCAGGAGTATGAACCCACTGGGAGTTCTGTCTTCCTAGAGCATACCGCTAATCATCATAGCCTTCTTTGACCAGCATTCCTTTAGGAAATTGAGCCCTAATTCTCCAAGGAATCCACTGCACACAAGGAATTAACCTCTCTCCCAAAGTATTTAAAGTGATACTAAAAATAAGCCATTTGGGAAAATCGAGAAAAGCTTTATTCATAATTTTCTAAATGTGGCCCAGCAGGATCCAGGTTGAGAAGGCTACAAGAAAAGAACATGAGTTTTGACATCAGGACCTGAATACCAGCTCTGCCACTTAGTAGCTACGTGACCCTGGGCAAGGGGCTGACTGCTCAGATGTTCTTTTTTCTTAGCTGAAAACCTACCCTTTGAGGTTTTATAAGGGTTAAGACATGTACAGTGAAAGCTCTTCTAATAACTTCAAAACACTCAGTGTACACTTTTTTGTTTTATTTAGGGGGGTTGTACTGGGAATTGAACTCAGGACCTTGCGGCTAGCCACGCAGGCACTGTGCCACTGAGCTATATCCCCAGCCCTAGCACACACTTGTTTTTTTAAAAAAAATACTAACCATCCTTTTTCAACTGCTTTTAAGAGTTTCTCTTGTCTACCACTTACCTAATTTTTTTCCTACTGCTGCCCTGCCCCGCCACACACACACACACACACACACACACACACACACGCACGCACACCTGTAGTATACTTCCAGTGTTCTCATCTTTGTGCCCTTCTTTTTGCATTGTGTCCTTTTAAGACTTTATTTCTCAGGGTGGTGGAATTCTTTCTGCCAGTCAGCTCCCAGCTGTCTAGTCGCTTCCCTCCCAGGTCTTACCTCTTCCTGGACTCTTCCCACGTATGAGACCAAGGCAAACTGAAGGCAAAGTCTGTGTCTTTTTTGTCTCCATCTCCTTTGTTCCAGTGTACCACACATTGCTTAGGGCATTTCTAGATATACTATTAAATCTCCACAGCCACTCACTGTAGGTCTTCTCTTAGATGATGCGATATTTTTGCTTCCTGGCCCTCCCACTCTTGCTGTCCTCATGTGTCTGATCTTTTAGAGCTTCCCATACAAGCTACCTCTTCTACTTGCTGTCCTTCTCTTTCTCATAGTCCAGTGCTACTTCTTTTACACTCCTAAGTGCTCCTCTCTCAGAAGCACTCGGGCTTTCTGAAACCTAATACCACTTTCCCCGCAGCCTCTCTTAGCCTTTTTCTTGCCTGTTTTCATGGCTCTTCCTTGCCTCCTCTGCAAAGTTCCACTAGGTTCAGTCACCATCAACTGAGTCCTTAAATCCCCCACCAGCCGCCTGAGGCAAAGAGCCTTTCCAGTGAACATCCTTCCTTAAACAGCCTGTTGGCTTATTATCAGGACCTAAAACTTGT